GACTGAGAAGCGCAGGCGCAGTGGGCTTCCTATCTTCTCTGCCCTCTGTGTCCTGGGAGAAGTCCCCGTCCCAAGAGACGGTTCTCATCGCTGGGTAGGGGTGGGTATCAAGCGGAACTCTGGTGACCCAGCCCCCTGCAGCTGAGCGCTACGCACACCCCCTCGCTCTTCTGTGATTTGCAGCTGCTGGCCCAAATCTTTCTCTCCGTGTTCATTTGTTTCCGCAATTTACTGCTCTTCGGTACAACGTTATAGGAGCCCCATCTGGCTACTTACCTGGGTTTCTCTTTCCCATGAAGACCTTAATGTGCATACAAGAAATTGAAATATTAACATCAACTAAAACGTGTATATTTCCCCCTGTTCACCTCTGTTGTCGGTTTAATTCTCATGCCCGAGTCACAGAACTTAAAGAGTGAGCTCTGAGCCACCTGTTTGGATTTTAAAGGGAAGGCATTGCAGAAGCCCCGGGGTCTTAAGGGCTTCGCCTCCCAGGGTGAGCATCTGCATGGGGAGGAAGGGCACTTGGCTCCTCCGAGGATCCCCAACCACCGGCTGCTGCTGCTGCCGGAAGGACGGTGGCGCCCTCTCGGGGCTTCGAAGACTTCACAGTTTCTGTGCTGAGAACACGGGCCACTGAGCCGGCTTCGGCCTGGGACCTGGCACCTTGGGGAGGCGGGGACTGTGCAATCCACGGCTTCTGTGTCTGGGGCGCTGGAGTCACAACCTGAAGGATGGAGGGAGGCCGTCGCCATCCCGTGTCACAGCTCGGGCTGTAAATAAACCCAACAAACGACTGGCAAATCCTGGACCCGAACAAAAGGGCTCAGGAGGTGGAAAGCCCAGCCTGGTCCTGGAAAAAGCACGCAGTCTGGGACCTAACCAGGAAGAAAAGGCTCCTCCCCGCCCCCCGAACGCCGGAGCGGCTCAGAATACGGCAGCCCCCTGCCCATACTGCCCACGGCGAGGTCTAGCTTCCGTGGTCTCAGGGACTTGCAGCCCGCCAGTCGGAAACAGCAGAAGAACCGGCGAATCAGCGTGTGCTTAACCAAGACTGAACCGGTGGGGTGCGGCCCTGCAGGGGCTTGGGTGGCCCGATTTCCGGATCCTCGGGGGCTGGAGATGCGCCCCTGGAAAGGAGAGAGACAACTTTGACCGCTGCAGAACAAATCCTAACATTTCCAGACTCAAATAACAGAGGCCAGTAGCAAATCTATCCAATTGACTATTTGTTTTATTTTTTTATTTCTCTTGGAACCAGGGATCGAACTCATGACTTCGCACTTGCCAGGCAAGGTGCTTACACGGAGCTAAATCCCCGCCCCCCACCTGCCAATTTGAAACCATCTCTCTTAAATATCTTTTGGCTTAATGCAGAACCTCAAGTCTGGGCACTGGGGCTGGCAGCCTGGCCCTGGGTGGACAGAGAAGAGGTTCGGGGACCCCACCTCCTCCCAGAGAGTGGAAGGAGGTGATGGTTGTTAACAGATTCCTGATTCCTATGTGTGTTCTAGGCTTAGCACACTATGGGTGCTTTAAGTTTTCAGCAATATCTTTGAGGATATTGATTCTAATTTTTGAAACTTTTCAGCAGCTTTCTGAATTTTGTTTTGTTTAAGTTACTTTTGTCAGTTTGCTTATTTTAATCTCTGCATTAGGGTCGTTCCTCACACATCTTTTTTTTTAAAATTGGTACCAGGATCGAACTCAAGATCACTTGCTTGCAAGGCAGGTGCTTATGTCTCTGAGCTAAATCCCCAGCCCCTTCCTTACACATCTTGCCACTTCTGGCTATGCAAAAGGAAGGCTTTACAAGGGTCCTTCCCTGATGCTTTTGGGGGTTCACTAGTGAGTGAGCTTCATTTTGTAGTCAGAATTCGGTGATATAGTTGTTTTTATTTATTTTTTACACCAGAAGACTCTCCTTTCAGGCACATGCTGGCATTTCCCTGCAGACCTCTTTCCCCGAGGCTACTCCAGTCTCTGAGCTGAGCGGAGGCCATGGCCTGAGCTTTGCAGGACCAGGTAAAGGAGAAAGCGCAGGTTCCTGGAGCACCCCAAGCCCTGGCCTTGTGTTCTACTTAGGAAGCATTTCCAGGTTTCATCTCAAAAGTGAAAGCCACTGCAGGGGAAGCCTGAGGCGCTGAGGTCTGGGGCAGTGAGTGGCAATGGCCTCCTTTCAGCCAGGACCAGGCCAAGGACGAACCCACCAAGTGGCCGTGCTCCTGTGTAAGATCCTCTGCTTATTTGAGCCCAGGGCTTCCTGTGTTCCTGGGATGGTTCGGAATTTCCATCTGCTGTGTTCTCTGTGTGACTGTTTGGGGCTTCATGGGTTTGATGCTCCTCCAGCCCCTGTTTGGTACTGATGATAGAACCAAGGGTCTTCTTGCTAACCTACATCCCTGGCCTGGTCCTTTTTTTTTTTAAGTTAGACGTATAAAGTTGCTCAGACTGCACTTGAATTTGCACCCAGCCTGATTTCAATCTTAACATGGTCATTCCAAGTGAGGGCTTCATGGTAAATCCACATGCTCAGTCCCAACTGTCCTGGGGGGACAGTTCTTTCCCACGTGTCTTGTTTGCTCCTCTCTAGATGGAAGCAGATAGCCTTCCTGAACAGCTCAGTTTATTGCTCCACAGTTTATTGCTGAGGCCTGTGCTGATCATCCAGACTCAGGGCAACAAGAGAAAACATACCTCAGTCAAGCATTGTGCCAGAAGTTAACATGAGAGGCAGTCTCCGTACTCAGCTGCACATTGAGTAGGAAAATCTAAAATTGATGAGAAAACAAAGGTCATTCTGCAGATGCTTGGGGATTTAAGCAGTTCAGAAGCTGATGTCTCAGCTCCCAATCTTACTTGGGAATGTAAATAGCACTCTACTGATTTTTATTGTTTTTGTTTTTGAACAAATGCTTATTAAGGTTTTATGTCTGGTAATAGTAGCAGCTGAGTAGTGTATGTTTTTTCTAGCTTGTCCTCTGTGAGGGTGTCTTAAAAGTATCTGTAAGAGGGGTTCTTTTTTTTTTTTTTTTGTACCAGGGATTGAACTCACAACCATGCACTTGCAAGGCAGGTGCTTATGCCACTGAGCTAAATCCCTGGCCCAAGGAGGGATTCTTAAATTTTGCTGGGGCATTGGCATCTTGGAAAATCTAACCAAGCCAATGGACTCTCATGGGGAATTCTGTGGCTTCAAAGTTTGAGTCATCCAAGATATATAAGGAGGTATGAACCTGTTGTCTAGCTCCAGTGCAGAGCAGGACAAACTTATGTAACCATAGCTTATCATGAGACAACCAGGAATGCACTGCACAGTTAAGCATACAAGAATGTACACAGGTGATAACAGCATATGTAAGAAATAAACAGTGTAGACTCAGCTGCTCTTTCTTGCTGCTGCTTCCCTTTTGAACTGCTGTCTGCCCTGCATGCATTCTTTTCCCCAGGGATCTCACCTGCAAAAACACCACTCCAGGGCCCCAGCCTCCACAGCTCTGTATTCAGAAAATGCAGACACCGACAAAAATTAAACTGTCTTACCCTGAAATCCCAGGATGTGATACTGTTCAGACATGTGAGACTGTTTATCAAAACTTAGAATAATTTCAGCACATTTTGTCAGATTTTACATCTTCATTAATCTGGGAGCAAGGCTTTCCGTAACAAAGCAGGCCAAAAAGATAAGACAGGCAGCTTAAGGTACTGGAAATAAAATAGATGAGATTCACGTGGCCTGGAAACAGCTATTGGTGTCCTGGACCTGCAGGTTCTATACCAGATGGAAATGTTCACTTTAGGCCCCATCAATCCACAGGACCCGAAGTTCTGTGGGTGGGACCAGAATTTTCTAAATTACTAGCACATTTGTCATACATAGATCTGTAAATAAATCTTTTTTCCCTTTTCCCACCCCTCAACCCTTCTTTTCTTCCCCATTTACAAAAGCTGTTTCCATTTTTTCTTCCATTCTTTTTCCCCCGTTCTTTCTTCTTCTGCCCTCCCTTGTTCCCCTTATTTGAACACGTGCTTCCTACTTTCCAACACCTATTCTCCATTATGCTCATTTTTTCTTTAGGTTTCTTACATAGGGAAAACAATGCAATATTTAAGCTTTTGTGTCTGGTTTATTGCACTTGTGATTATTGCATCTATTTTCCTGCGAATGACTGTATATGTACTCTATATACATAAACTCATTTTCGTTAACCATTCATCTGTTGATGGGCATTTGGGCTGTTTTCAAGATTTAACTACAAATGGTGCTGCTATAAACACGGATGTGCTTACATCACTGTGGCGCGATGCTTGTAACACTTTCGGGAGGCCAGAAAACTGTCTGAAAAGTGCCCTGGGTGTGTGTGAGGAGGTTTGGAAGTCGGTGCGCAGGGTCCCACGGAGGCGAAGAAGGCGCTGGCTCTGACGCGTGCAGGACGGGAAATTTAGCGTGTGGGGCTCCCCTTCTGCACAGCCTGCTCTTCTCCGAACCGTGAAGACCCCAAGGTGCCCCCGCCGCCCGCGCGCACCCGAGCTCGTGCCAGGGGCCCGAGAAAAGGAGTGATAGAGGAAATGGGGGGACCGACGGGGACGAGATCCCCAGCACCCCAACCCTGCCTCCTGCCAAGTCCTCTCAATCTGCATCCAGGTATTGTCTACCTTTATCATTCCTATTTCCGGTAGGTGGGCCGTAAGAACAGCCAATCAGCGGCCTGATTACCTTCCGGTGTTCTGCGCGCTACCATGGAGACGGGCCAGGCGAGTCCAAACGCGGAGGGGGGCTCGGCCTGCCATGCTGACGTGAGTCCCGGCTACCACCACCAATTCCCGCCCAGTCCTGGCCAGTGGGCTCACCCAGGACGGGTCCTGCCTACTGACTTCCGGCCAATGAGAGCCCGCGCTCTTTTGGCGTCGCGCGCTGCCCGGGAGACAGGCGGCGAGTCCAGTGCTGAGGGTGCGGCCCAGTAGGTGCGTGGCGGCTGTGGAGTCCGCGCGCGGGACGCCAGGTTCCCACTGTGGCCCTCACCCATGCCCAGGGCCCGGCTTGGCTTCGTGGCCTCTGAGGCCCCACCGGGACAGGCTGCTGAGCGGGCTTCGCGCGCGGTGTCCCCCTGGGCTCAGGAGTCCCCCAAGTCCGAGGTTCGGTTCTGACCGAACCCGACGTGCTGCGGGCCGTGAACGCGCTGTGCCCCGCGCCCAGCCCGACTGGGACCGCGCAGCCCGCTCTGCGCGAAGGTGGGGAGTCCGGCCTGAGGGATGGCGCAGGGCGGCCTCCGCCCTGATGAGACCGCTGGTTGCGGTGCGGCCCCGGCGCTCGGGTTAGGTTTTCCGCGTCTGGGCTGCGGCTTCAGGATGCACACCTGCGAAGGCTTTCGTGGGGGCAAGTTTCGGCCAAGCGAAGAAAGTTCCCGCCACGTCTTTATTTGCGCTGGCTGCACAGATGAGCGGGTTTTATTTTGGCAGATTTGTGCGTGGAGCTGACACGCAGCAGCTTTCACGTTTTGGGCCGAGTGCATTGTAGCTTAAGCCTGCCAGAGCCCCACTACCTCTCTTTAGTCTCTTGTCTATAGCCTTCCTTCCATTTTATTACCATCGTTTCTAGATTCCAGATAATTTGGGAGAACATGAGATATTTGTGATCTGGTTTATTTTACTGTACATGCTGATTTTGAGATCCTTGTATGTTTTTGGCAAATGACCGCATTTCGTTGTTTAAAAAGGAATTTTTTTTTTGTCTTTGTTATTGTTATCGGTACCGAGGATCAAACTCATGACCACCTACTTGCAAGGCAGGTGCTTATGCCGCTGAGCTAAATCCCCAGCCCCTTTGGTTTGTTTTTTGAGATGGGCTCACTATGTAGTTCAGGCTGGCCTCAAAGCAGTGTAGATCCTCTTGCCTCAGCCTCTCGAGTGCTGGGATTACTGAGGTGATCTTTTAATGGAACCCAGCGCTTTACATTTAGTTATGCTGCTTTCTTGCTTTAACAGCAGAGTCGAGTCATTGGAACAGGAATTATAAAGCCTTTTTTTCCCACATAAAGTGAGGTTTCTTATTTGAGGTGCAGTGTATTGCCCTTTAAATTAAAAAAAAAAATCTATGGAGATTTACCGCGTAAGGATTTTTTGTTCGTTTGTTTGCTAATTTGTTTATTTGAGACAGTCTGGCTATGAAGTTCAGGCTGGCCTTAAACTCACTATGTAGCCCCAGCTAGCCTTAAGCTCATGGCGATCCTCTTGCCTCAGCCTCCTGAATCCTGGGATTACAGGTGTGCACCAGCATGTTCGGCTCATGGCAAATATATAGCAGTAGTGTTACCTTCAGTTGCACTATTCTGTACTGGAACTTCTCATCTTGCAGAGCTGATCTATATGGGTGAAATCACCTGCTGCCCCCTCCCCCTGGCAATCACCACTTGAGTGTCACTGTCCCGGCCCTGTTGTGTAAGTGGTCTCATGTAAGTAGTGCCTGGCTGACCCTGCTTCCTAGGGCTCCTCCACTCTGCTGTCTGGAAAGTCCTGCCTTTTTAATGCTTCACTGAGCCCGCTGGGGGATTGGTAAAGCCCACTTCTGGGGTGTGTGGGCGGGCCTTGGAGGTGTGGCCTCGAGTGTCTGTGTCTGTCCCCACTGCTTCTCTCATACTGTCCCCGGCTCTGCTCCTTGGACACCACAAACTTAGCTGCTCTTCTCTGCCATTCCGTCCACCATGTTTGTGCCAGCCAACCTCAGACTGAATTCTCCGAGCACTTGTGCCACATAAACCCCTCCTTTCCCTCTGAGTGGTGGGCAGTTTGACCCAGTAATGGGAAAGCTAGTACTCCACTGTGTGTACACACATACTGCATTCGTGCATATGTATATATGTATAAATATATTGTATATAAATACATTGCATATAAATATGTATCACTGTTTTCTGGAGTTGTGTCCCTAGTCCTTTTTATCTCGTCGTTTTTAAAATCTTGAGATAGTGTCCCTGAGTTGCCCAGGCTGAATTTGAACTTTGGGTCCTCTTGCCTCAGTCTCCCAGAGTGCTGGGATTATGACCTCAGGCTTTCCTTTTAGTTTTCTGAGTCGCACCATTTGCAGTAGTGGTGTGCACCCCTAGTTTGTCTCTGACTCTGCTGTTTGTGGTTCTGTGCATTCGTGGTCATCCTGGCTCCCATGGTGTGTGAGCCTGTGATACCTCATGGGTTTGACCTGCCTTTCCCAGAGATTAGTGATGTGGAGCATTTTGTCACAGGTTGTTGATAGTTGAGTCATCTTGTTGGAGAAAGGTGGATTCAGCGTGAAGTTCCTGTTGAGTTGCAGGACTGTGTTACGTGTTCCAGATGTCAGGCGTCCCGAGCCACGTGGCTGTGAGTTCTCTGTCCTAACTCAGGACAGAGGCTGGTGGACTTCTCTGTGCGCAATAAATGTTTCAGTGGCTGGTGGACCCTTCAGGCTCTGTGGTGGCTGCAGGGTCTGTCACTGTGTGGGAAAGCAGAGAGCGAGCTGCGCGCTCTGTTCTCTGACCCTGAATGACACAGCTCTGCGTCAGGCGTGATGGGAGCTGGGCCGTGTCCTGGGTGCCACTGTGTTGCTAGCCCCTGACTCAGGGTGCACTGGGGTCGCCTCTGTTCCTGTGGGTCACGTGCAGATCCTGTTGCACCACGAGTGTCTCTGAGGCATTTCTGCACGCGTGGTTCTGTTTGCTTCTCACAGGTGGTGGCCTGTAGGTGGGGCACACACCGACCCCGTGCACATTTTATTTCTTTTAAAATTTAATTTAAAGACAGAATGAAAACAAAATTTCAAAACAAGGAGAGTCATAATGATTAATACATTGCATATTGTTATCTTTACCTTAATCACTCAGAGTACAAGATATAGGCATTTAATTATCCAAACAGTATCAACATAAACCTTTCTTTTCAATGAACTAAGAGAAATTAGTATATCTAAACTACCTTGAGTACGTGTATATATGTGGGTTTTTTTTTTTTTTTTGGTTTTTCCTTCCTTTTTTTCTCCTTTCCCTCATCCCAATTTCTCTTTTGTTTTAAACTGTTTCTTATCATTTCACAATATTTGTTGTACATTTTGGATCTTACTCTTTGAGCTTCTCACACTAGGGAGACAATATAGTATTCACACATGAGAGTCTGGTTTATTTCACTCGAGTATAGTCCATTTTGCCTGTAAAAGCCTGGAGCTTATCCCTTTTATAGCTGAGTAGTACGCCACTGTATAAAAAGACCACATTGTTTTTATCCATTCCTCAGACATGGGCATTTGGGTTGTTTCCAAGATTTAGCTATTACAAATTGTGCTGCTATAAACATGGGTGCACATAATATTGTTGTAGTATGATGTTTTAAATGCTCTTGGGGAGATAGCCAGAAGGGGAATAGCTGAGTCAAATGGAACCTCCAGTCCTAGTTTTTTGAGGAATCCCCACACTGATTGCCACAGTCAGTACATTTTCTGTTGTGCTAGGTTTCCATTGTGAAAGAGAAATCAAGAAAAATAACAAAGTAGAGAAGGTCTCATTCATTCTCCGAGTTTGTTACTTGTCAAAATAGCTGTTTTCAGTTTAAGATCTTGTTGGTAGAAAGTTAAACATTGCTTCTTTTATTTATATTTTCTTTATAAAAATGGGTAGGTTTTATGGATTTGTAGCATTTTTAGGTTTATTCCGCTTTGAAGTATCCTGGGCTAAGCAGTTTATGCTCACGGATCACGGAGCTGACTTCCTGTGCCTCTGTTTACCTGTAGAGCCATTTGGTCATGTGTGAGTGACTGGTCCTAGATGGAGAACTTTATCCTGTATGAGGAGATCGGCAGAGGAAGCAAGACTGTCGTCTACAAGGGACGGCGGAAAGGCACAATCAACTTCGTGGCCATTCTTTGTACCGAGAAGTGCAAGAGGCCCGAGATAACCAACTGGGTGAGTGGAATGTGTTCCTCTTTGGGGACTGACAGCTGTCAGGACCAGGGCAGAGGTGGCAGGAGACAGGAACCACAGCAGTCTCTGTGTCACCTGCCACGTTTTCAGGCCGCAGCGAGTGCCCCTCTGTCTCCTGCACTGCCACTGGGTAAGTGATTGGCGGGTCCAGGCAGTCCCTCTGGAGGGTATTTTGGGTACAAGGGGAACTGGTAGATGCCTGCTTGGACTGGTGTATGACTGTGTGGTTTTCCAGAAGGGCGCTGGGCAAGGGCTTAGCTCGGAGTGGCTGTGTCACTGTTCGCCTGGTGCCGCTTGGGCCATGCTTAGCTTTCAAACAGCATTGGGCATGGGAGTGTACGATCTTAAGGCTGTGTGGGGCTGCTGGGGAATGCGGAAGCTGCAGGCTTGGGATGCTTTCCTGCGGTGCCAGGCTCAGGCACAGGTGTTGCTTTTCTAGGGTGAGGATGCCAGGAACCTGAACGGCAGGTGCTATCCAGTATGGGGGTCCAAGGGACTAACCCTGGGCAGACTGGAGAGGAGAATCCAGGCTTCATTCTTTTGGAGGGGAAGTAGGAGTACTCAGGCAAAGCAGGCTGGATGATTTGCTGTGACGGTCCACAGAGAGACCTGTGTGACATAGTAGGGTGCAGTCGTGTGTGCCCAGCACTCTGGGAGGCTGAGGCAGGAGGAACATAAATTTGAGCCCAGCCCTGGCATCTTGGTGAGACCCTGTTTCAAAATAAAAGATGATAAAAAGGGCAAAGGATGTCACTCAGTGCAGAGGCCCTGAGTTCCGTCCCTGGTCTCTCAGGCAGCAAGACTGTGACCTTTGATGTCACGTTAGTGTCACCGTGTTTCTAAGCCCCTTAGGTCTGCTCAGCTCCCCTTGGGTCAGGTCTCCCTGAGTACCGCAGCTCCCACCTGGCATCTCCTGGGCGTGGCTTCCTGGGCTCACCTTCCAGCCCCACACCTGCCGGGCAAGCCACGCACACAGCCTCTGCGCTCCCAGGGTCCACACGGCCAGGGCTCTGTCCCACTCCAACTGTTGTACCTGGGAGGTGCTGCAGATGTCATGGGCCAGGTCTGAGCCTGCAGATGACACCTGCTGCTGTGAGGGATGCTGGTTGGTAAAGGCCTGTGTCACTTCCTGCCGTGGTTCTGTCCCCGAGTCTGGCTCTGGGCTGGGGCTGCAATCCAGCGTGAAGAGCCGGGGTTCAGTAATAGGCCAAAAATAAAACAAACCAGGGCTTTGGGTTCCAAATATGAAGGTAAGCTAGGTTGTGATGCTTGGCAGGTTAGGTGCTTTTAAATATATATACATATATTTAAAATATATATATACATATATTTTGATACAGGGTCTTGCTATGTTGTCCAGGCTGGACTTGAACTCACCATGTTGCCTGAGCTGGCCTCGAACTCTAGTGATCCTCCTGTCTCAGTCTTCTGAGTGCTGGGATCTCAGGCAAGCGCCACCACACGGCTTTATCTTTTTGAGATGGTGTCTGGCTGTGTCACTAAGTTGCCCAGCCCGGCAGCTACATATGTTCAGCCTGTGATGTGCTTTGTGGGTGTAACTACGCCATAAATCAGGAGCACCTGTAGTTTCACCATCCACAGCAGCTGTTCAGGGAGTCCCTCCTGAGCATTTACTAGGAACAGTTCATATTCGTACAAACGTGTTTGAACCCAGGCCTTGTGCATAAAGCAGGTTCTCTACTGCAGAGCTGTACCTCCAGCTCAGACACGTGTCGTATGATTGATTGTGCGTTGACAGTGTTTTCCCGTGTGATCAGCCTCTGTAACCATCATTTCTAACATTCGTAAATACAGTTTCATAGCCATTTCTCACTTGCATGTTTAGGTAGTTCTGACATAGATGCTTGGGTGTTAGTAAAGACACATTGTTTCTGAGTGTGCATGCTGTGTGTTTTTACAGGTCCGTCTCACCCATGAAATTAAACACAAGAATATTGTAACTTTTCATGAATGGTATGAGACCAGCAACCACCTCTGGCTGGTGGTGGAGCTCTGCACAGGTGAGAATGTGTGGGCAGCACAGAGAGACATAGTGGTGGCGGACCTGTGGCACACATGCCACAGTGGCACAAAGTGCCCCCCGTAGGCCCACAAGCCCAGTGCCCCAGCAGCTGAGCCTCGGGTGACAGCTGTTTGTTCTGAACGAAAACCTCAGTGTTCAGGTTTAGTTATTGCAGCACTTTGGGATAAATAAGTGGGATTTGGGTTGCAATGTGGGTTCTCAGTCTCTAAAAGATTTACTATCACTGGTAAACTTTAATTTTTTTTTTTGCAGCTGTAAATAGTATTGATATTATTCACTATGTTGACTTCAAAATCTGTTGCTTGATAGGTATTGGAGAAAGGTAAAATAGGATGTTTTGTAAAAGGAAGAATTATATAAAATTCTACTTGGAGTGAACTTTGGTATGTTATTAAAACACATAATAATTTAGGAAATAGTGTAATTAATTTGTCAAATAAGTTTCCCCATAAATAAAAAGAAACATCTCAGGCTAACTGGCTGTTATTCAGCTAGTGAATTTATAAAATGGTCTTTGTTTCTGTATAGGTATTTGTGCTCTATGAAAGCCTCACATGTGAAAGAACAAAGATGAACAACACACGCCACTACCTTGCAGTGTGGGGGGACAGGTCACAGCTGTTGCTGGGTGCAGTTTTTTAGGACTGCATGCAGGGGGAAAGGTGACCAAAGCCCTAGATAATATCTGGGCTTTCATTCTCAACATCTTCCAGACTTAACAGAGAAAATCCTTGTAATGAGCATCATCCTTGGTATATTTCTGTTTATACGTTGAGCATAATGAAGGGTCCTAATCTAGGGGTGTGCTTGATTATTTGCTATATGTATTTCACCTGTTGGGGTTCAAAATGCTCAAACCTAAATGATAAGAAGTCGTTTGGCTTCCTGACTGGTTTGCACCCCGTCTTTGGAATCAGTGAGAGGGGAGCAGGTCCGGGTCCCCCTTGCAGACCCAGGACCCTGGTTGGACTTGTGGATAGCTATGGTTTCTGATGCCGGCCAGGTGGGGTAGCATGAAGCTCAGTTATGCCTGTGTTTGGACGATCCCTCGCCCATTAGAGTGGACAGAACCCTAAGTACTTCTTGCTTCCACCATCGAAGTTCTGACTGGACGTTCACAAGCCAGCTCAGACTAGGCTGAGCCTGTCACCCTGACCTCTTCTGCCCTTCTGGCCCCCGTGGTGGAGCTGAGCCTGCCTATGGCCTTTCTGCCCCCGGATGAATGAGGGCTGGGTGGTCTCCTATGTGGGAGCTGTCTCCTTCGCAGTGTGACCTGGTCCCGTGCTGGTCTGAGCACCGTGAGTGAAGTATGCAATTTGGGCAGAACACAGCCCTGACAGCTGCAGTGCCTCACTTCCTGGGGGACCCGGAGTGATTGACCCCTCCTCCTGCTTGCCCAGTACCCTCTTCTGGGTGGAGTGGGCACTGGCTGTGTCCCAGCCCCCTGTGCCTGCTCTTGAGTTTCCTGTGCCATGCTGTCGGGCTTGTGTGAGCCAGCGTCAGCTCTCAGCTGTGACACGGGTGAGTTCAAGTGTATGATCTTAATCAATTCTTTGCAGGTGGTTCTCTAGAGACAGTGATTGCCCAGGATGAAAACCTCCCAGAAGATGTTGTGAGAGAATTCGGAATGGACCTGGTCTCTGGGTTGTGTCATCTTCACAAACTTGGTGTTCTCTTTTGCGATGTTTCTCCTGGGAAGGTAATGCATGGGTCATGGCTCCTCTAACTGTTGGTCTCAGAGGTGTGTGTGTGTGTGTGTGTGTGTGTGTGTGTGTATGTTAATGCCAAGTGAGTACTCTGCCCCTGAGCTGCACCCCAGGCCCAGTTGGTTTTAAATGAAGGGGTGTACATAGCGCTGTGCCACATTGCAGCGGCCTTTGCTGTGACTAGGGAGCCAAGTCCCTCTTCTCCTTAGTGGGCCAAGGGTTGCTTTTCCGACAGTGCAGTGTCAGTGATGAACTCTGCAGTCTGCAGGACTCTGGCTCTTGTCTCATGTGCACGCTTGTGAGTCCTGTTTCAGTTTGCACATGGTGTTCTCGGTGATGTGTGTGTGATTCTTGCCGCTTCAAATCAGCAGTGTTTTGGTGAGGCTGATGACCCTGGCCCAGTGTGCATCTGCATGTGTGCAGTGAAGCCTGCTTGTGTGAACCTGAAACGTGAAGTTCTTACAAGTTTTGAAGGCCCAGACTGACCGTTGCTTTCTGTTTGGCCATGGTGCAACTTCACAGCTGTGGGAAAGCAGCCATGGCTGATGTTTGGCTCATGCTGTAGTCTGCTGGTGGCTATAAAGTTGCTCGTGGGCTTTGTCAACTGCTGTGATTTCACTAGCTAGAGAGCTGGGACCCCTGCTGTGGAACAAGTGTGGCAGAGGGTGGGCCGCATTGCCTTCTCCTGTACCGGCGCCTGTGGTGTAAGTGCTGCTGGTGGCTGGTGTTATGCACAGTGGGTTGAGCGATCAGGATAGAGACTGTCGGGCTCTCGAGGTCCTCACAGCTGCGATGCTGCCCAGGGCTCATGGGAAATGTAGACTTGTTGCAGCGGAAGCTTGCAGGGGACGAGTTCCCATCACCTCTGCAGGGGATTCCGATGCTCGGAGTCAGCAGACTCCCTTACCATGTGCTGGTGCCTGGAAGGTGAGGGTTAGTGTCACACACAGAAGCGCCCTCCTGACCCATCGAGACGCCGTAGTTGTGTGCTTCTGGCACATTCTGGCAGCCAGCGGGCGACTCCTGATCATAAACAGTGCTGGCAGTCTTGGCCTGTGTCACATGCCGGTCATGGTTGTGAGCCTCTTGCCTGTGTGACCTCGGCCCCTGCTGAGGAGTTAACGTAGTGCTTTCCCCATTTTTATAATTGTTAGGAAGGGTCTAAGGGGAGGAACTCACCATCGTCTCCAAGGCCCGGTGTTGAGCAGCCAGGCTGTGCTGCCCTCAGGACAGCTGTGTTGTCCTTGTGGACAGGCGCTGGCCTGATGGCTGGGTCTCAGTCCGTGCTGGGCTGCTCCTGAGGGTGTCGTGTGCAGATCTTGCCGCCCCAGTCAGCCCGAGGTGTTGAGGATGGTGTCGGGTTTGCCTCCAGCCTTCCCTGGTGGTGGTTGTGCCTCGTGGCTGAGGAATGCGAAATGAGAGGCACACAGTCAGTGCAGGCGTGCTGTCTCAGATCTGTCTGAGCTACCTTGGCGGAGTCTGAGCTACCTGTGGCCGAGTCCGGATGTGGAGTCAGAGCTCCTCGGGGGCTGAGGGCTGCACTCTCTCTCCTGAGCCCTGAGGTTTCCCCTGTGCTGTCTGGGATTGGGTAGTTGTTAATTCTGTTATTGCAATGTAATTTTTCATTTGCCTTTTTTTGTTTTTGAGGCAGGTCTTGCTATGTAGTGCAGACTGGCCTTGAGCTTACTATGTAGCCCAGGCTGGTCTGAGACTCATGGCGAACCTCATGCCTCAGCCTCCCGAGGGCTGGGATTGCAGGTGTGTGCTGCCATGTCCGGCTCACTTGCTTCTCCTCCTCCAGAGGCCTTTAAGGGATTTGTGAGAGGAGGTGGCAGATGTGTGAACTAAACCAAACTTGTCTCTGAGACTTTTGTGTCTGAATCTTAACAGATACTCTTGGAAGGGCCGGGGACACTGAAGTTTAGCAATTTTTGCCTGGCGAGAGTGGAAGGTGAGAATCTGGAGGAGTTCTTCACTTTGGTGGTGGAAGAGGAAGGAGGTGGCGACAGCGGGGAAAGCGTAATGAACATGAAAAACAGAGTCAAAGGTACGTGGACCAGGGAGCTCGGGTCACTGTCCCTCACCTGTCAGAGATGATGCTGACCATCTGCTTTTTTTCCCTGATACTGTGCCGAAAGTCACAGTGGCCAGGAGTCGGCACAGGCATACTGCTGGCCATGGGAAGCCTCTGCCACAGTCTGTCCTGCCCTTTGCTCATTATTGCCAGACACACTCAGGGAAGCTGCCTGGTACTTACGGAGCAGTGGTGGTGAACCTGTGGCACAACGTGTACCGCAGTGGGTTCTTGGTTATCACTGCAAGCTCTGAACCGGTTGCTGCCGTGGCTTGGTAGTGTTGGTTGAGCGCCCCTGATGGGGATCTCCTGCTCGCAGGGCGGGTTCAGAGGCGCCCTCTTGTGGGTGGTTTGGGTGTGAGTTGGAGCTGGGACGTGAATGTAAACTGTAAAGGTAGGAACAGTACCTTTCTGAGGAGGGTTCCTCTGGGTTGTTCCTCAGGCCTTTGATGGAAGTGGTAAAGATCCTTCCTCCTTGAGTTCCCTGAATTGGTCTCTGAGTCCCTGGACTGTTGAAGCCCTAGGACACCTAGCAAAGCTGGGAGCAGCTGTGGAAAGGGCACTGCTAGCGAGGGCAGCACCCTTGGGTGGAGTTTTATTGGACCAGATACCTAGGAACTCTTTCTGATTCTGTGTGCCAATCTACCCCTGAGCTTACCAGGCAGTCGTATGATTGTTTTGGTGTTTGTCTTTCCCTGTGTGACTGGAAATGGAAGGGCTTCATGTTCCTTTGTCCATTAGAGCCTGTGTGCGCTACTTCCACATTCATTTACTGATTCAGCTGTTGGGTTCTGGGAACTTGGCTGAGAGCAGGCAGGCAGGACTCCCACCCTCCCTGAGCTTGGGTTCCCAGAGGGGAGGAGAGACCAGCTCTCCCCTTCAGCACCCATTGCTGGGGCCGCTGTGAAGGGATGGGCAGAAGCCTGGGCGTCACAGGGGCCTGCAGCTCCTCGAGCAGCCAGCTAGACCTCTACTGTGTGTGCTGAGCGCGTGTCTGTAGGAGGCATGTGGGCTGCCGGTCCGGCTGTCACAGGCCCTGGAGGTGTGGTTTGCGGAGAGGTTCACTGTGCAGTTCTGTTTCCTGACGACCAGGCCTGCTCACTTTGTGGAGCAAGTGATCTCACTGGGCCGTGGGGAGTTTTCAGGCAGATGGGAAGAAGAACCCTGATTTCTGTGGGGCATTACAGCTGCCTAGGTGCCCCCACGGGTCTCCCATCTGTATCTGAAATGTGCGGTTTCCACATCAGGTGAAGCCCTGGGTGAAATGTACATGATGCAAGTGTGTGCTGCCCGTGGCGCACGTCCTGCTGGCCCGGCGGGGTGTGTGTCGGCATGGCCTAGCCCCTGTCACAGGTAGTACCATTGAGAAGCGAGAAGGGTGACGTGCTGTATTCCTTCCCCGGGTTTTCAGGGTACCCTTTTGTACCTGGCCTATGAGAGGCTGCAGAACCGGACTCACTTTTGGGGGACTTGATGTTAGAGTCATAGATAAATCTTTGGCGTTAAGCCAGTGGGATTTAAAGGTTGTCATTGCTGCTTAACTTGGCCCATTTTAATTGTAACAGCTTAATGAGAGTTCTTTTCATTTGAATTTTTTTTTTATCGGTACTAGACATCAAACTCATGACTGCGTGCTTGCAAGGTAGGCGCTTATGCCGCTGAGCTAAATCCCCAGCCCCTTTCATTTGAATATTTTAATTGTGAATTGAATTTATATTTTAATTGTTAGTTGAATTTATGTTTTTAAATACATCTGCATGACTGAATGTGTCACACTGTTCACTAAAGTAGATTTTCAAAATCTGTATTCATGTATGTATAGCCTTTGTAAGATGTACTCTTAAAATCAGAAAACATGTAAAAGTATGAAATGCTTGTGTCTTAGTTTCTTTTCTCGTTGCTGAGATGAAATGCCTGACACCCACTTTAAAGAAGAGTTTATTGTAGCTCACAGTTTGTAGTGGGTTCAGTCCATAGTTGGCTGGTTCCAAGGCAGGGTGTCATGGCAGTGGGGCATCACAGAGGAGAAGCAGTCCATAGCAGGGCAGGCAGGAGGCAGCGAGCAGGGAGCCTTCTGGACTTCTGTGCCATCCAGGCTGTAAGTGTATGGGATGGTGTCACCTACACCCAGGATGGACCTCCTCATTATCCAGACCCAGAACTGCTGCACCAATCAACCTACTTTAGTACCACACACCCTTAATCCTACATTACATACCCTAGATCCAGCCAGCTCCAAAAAGCCCCCACCTGTGAGGTAAGGCTTTGGGAGGACATTAGATACAACCCATAGCAGCATGTGAGGTTTTACCCACATGTACATTTTCCTCCAGCCTTTGTTTACCTCCCCAGGCCTTTTCCCAATAGGTCTGTGGAGTATGATACAGATGCCTAACAATTGTTCTTTGCACTTTAACTTTAGGGTCTCCTGTTTATATGGCACCAGAAATCATGAGGGGTGCGGACTTCTCCATTACCACTGACCTCTGGTCATTGGGCTGCCTGCTGTACGAAATGTTTTCAGGTGATTACTTTCTGCTTCAGTGTAAGAGCAGAGCTAGCTGAAACAGAGAATAATGTCAAAAAAGTTTACTCCTATAGTTTACAAATATTTAACTTATGTCAAAAATCTAATTTTATTAAGTTTTCATATATACCAGTGTTGGCTAAATTGCTTGATGTGGAAGTACGTGCAGATCTTCAAGAAGTTTGTGACAGTACATACTTTTTCATGATACCTGAAATTTTGAAATGTGTCTAATTATTAAAAACTGTTATTAATAGAAATTCTTGGGACTGGGGATTTAGCTCAGTGGCATAAGCGCCTGCCATGCAAGTGCACAGTTGTGAGTTTGATCTCCGGTTTTAAAAAAAAAAAGAAAAGAAAATTCTTCAAGCGCTCATCATGTCTGAATTATTTGAATATGCCAAGTAGCCCATGAAGCCTTGGATTATGGCAGGGGTCATGTGCAGTGAGTGAGTTTGTGTGTCAGTTAGGGTAAGAGATTTTGAAATAGAGAAATACAAAAGAAAAATATAGTCTGTACCTGGTGTATCTATTACGTATTCAATAATCAGTGACTGCTTTTTCCTGAAAAATTCTGAAATGTCTGTAGCTAAGTTCAGAAGTACTGGTGGCAGTACACTAATTTTGCAGGTCAATGTGATTTCAGGAAAACCTCCATTCTTCTCCGAAAATGTTCCAGAGCTAGTTGAAAAGATTTTACACGAAGATCTGTTGCCACCTGTTCCAAGAGGTGAGCATTCTTGTGATGAGTTCACGAACATCCTGCACGGAGTGTGAGACTGTGCTTGGCTCGAGGTCTGTTCTAGGATTCGTAGCCTCTAAATGTTCTGTTTTAGGGTTAGTCCCAAGTTGATGGTTTTTCTGATACTGAAATTGAAAGCAAAGTACTTATGTTTCCTTTCACTTAAAAACATGAATTAATTTGTGCTTCTGTATCACCAGAGGCCTGGTTTAGAGGTGTAGAAAGATCAAACCTATATATATTTATGTTTTTTAATTTACCATTTCCCTAATTTGTGTTCATACTATGTGTGGTTATTTCTGTGTGGTGTTTCAGGAGGAGCAAATGAGGTCTTTCTCAATGCTCATTTTGATGAAGCAGAATGCTACCCTGACACATCTTCTAAAAACCTTTAAATTAGACATAGTCATCCTATTTTAATCATAAAAATCATGGTTCACATAACAATCCACCTTTGACAATGATTTTAAGGCAAGAAAAGGAAAAATGACATGAATGTAGGTTAACATTTTGCTCTACATTATTGGGAAGTTAGGACCTCTAGATGAAAATAAAATTGTACAAAAAGTTATGCTTGCTGTGTTTGAAAGAAGAAATTTTAAGAAGTAGTGAATGGAAGATTCATGCAGACTGTTTTCAGTGTTTTTAGATTGTCCACGGTGATGAAAGCCTCGGTACTTTGAAAATCTGTTTCTTAAAAAGAAGCTGAATCTTTTGCTTTCTGTGCTGTGTGAACTCTGCTGAGTTGAAGGCTGTTCTGTAGAGAGGAAACTTGAAGTTGAAGGTGGTGAGGCCCAGTTGCTGTCTGAGTCACAGCCCCACTGCCGTCATTTCCTGGGTACCCTGCTGTCCTCCAGCTGCACCCGCAGCTGTGCACGTCCCCTGGGCTCCCTCAAATCCTGGTGTTTGCGGCCTTATCTCTGTGGGCTGATGAACTGGCCATGGTACTTAATCCAGCCTAAAAAGACACAGCATCCTGAGGTCAAGGGAGGCAGTAGTTGTGAAGTTCAGGGTTTATTATTTCCCTGTTAAAAATCTTCAGAGTAAGAGGGAAATCGCAAGAAATCTTCTGGGGTGGTGTAAAAGCAGAGTTGGCTGCACATGGTGGTGCACAGCTGTGATCTCAGCACTCTGGGAGGCCGAGGCAGGAGGAGTACAAGTTCAAACCTACCCTGGCCAATTTAGCTAGACCCTGTCTCAAAAAAAAGAGAATAATAATAAAGCAGGGGGCTGCAGATGTGGCTCAGGACGAAGGCCCTGTGTTCAGTTCCCAGTGCCACAAAGAAAAAACGAAATGTTGGGGTTACCCAGAGAACAAGGCATAGCCAGTTGTTGAAGGCAAGGAGTGAGCAGGCTGGAGCGATCCTCGCGGGTGTCAGGAGGAAGAAGTGGAGAGTTTAGTTTTTCTAAGCCGTCCATAGGACTCCCCAGTGTCCCTGCTTGGGCGCCTCACAAACAGTTGTGCCTTTGTTCCCGGAGTCTGAGCTAGTTCCCAGCGTCAGGGCTCACAGGCGGCTTGCTGCCTTAGCACTGAGGGGGCTGTTAGAGTGGTGTTTACCATCTATCTTCTTTTTTCTTGGGAATTCATTCACATGTAGACTCTTCACGTCCGGAAGCATCTTCAGATTTCGTTAATTTGGTTGATGGCTTGCTTCAGAAAGATCCGCGGAGGAGGTACGGGCCAGGCCCCTTCCCGTGCCAGCCTACCCTGGAGTCCTGTTCCCTTGGTCCCTTTCGTTTTGAAGCAGCATCTTGTTGCTAAGTTCCCACGTTGCTCAGGCTGGGGTGGGATTTGTAATACTGCCTCAGCCTCCCAGAGTGCTGGAAAATCTGAGCAGTTTTCTTGTCTTTGGCCTCACTGTGATGATGGTGATGTCCTAAATCATACAATGGGCTGCTGTTCATCCCCGAGTATCCTGGGGTCCTCTGGGGTGGATCCGGGGTGAGGGTTGTAATGCTCCATTTCTGTTAAGGCTAACGTGGAGCGGCGTGCTGCAGCACCCTTTCTGGAAGGGCGCCTTCACCAGGAACGCCAAGGAGCTGGGCGTGGAGGATCCCCCCATCAGGTGTGCAGGCTGCCTCATACCTAGGTGTGGTTCTCGCACTCTCGTGCTGTTATCTTTGAGTACCGTGGCGTCGCTAGCCTGAATTTCTGTGCATCAAAGCACAGAATATAGCGCTGCTCCAGTTAGAGTTAAGGAGCTCAGTGTTGGCTTTGCTCACCTGAGCAGCTGTCCTGTCAGCCAGCCACCTGGCCAGTGGTCCTTGGTGCCTTCAGGTGCAGCTGCTGGCAGCCTCCCAGGTGCTGGTGTTATTTTCCCCATCAGGCCAGTGGCCTGGTGACTCGCACTGGCTCAGGGCCTCCTTTAGAAACGTCACAAGCCAGTCTCCTTGGCCACGTTTCTCCTTCCTGGTGTTGTAAGTGAGGGAAAGGTGAAAGTGGCTGCTGTCTTCCCAGGTCTTGAGACACCAATGCCTGGGCCTCTTGCCTGGCACTGGGCCTGGGGCTCTGTGGTAAGGCTGGGGGGTAAGGCTGCAAGGCCCGCTTAGCCATCCTGCCCGGCGGGCTTCGGTTTTAGTGTGAAGTCGTCTTGGCCCAGTGCACTGAGCGAGGTGGATACGGCTGAATAGGGCTGGAGGGAGGGAGAAGGAGAGAGAAGAGCCGGTCCAGGGGTTCACCTCATGTTCTGGGGTCCCATCTCTTGGGTCGGAGAATGAATTCCTGATGATGGGTACTGCTTTTCCAATTCCATAATTTGCCAAGTGTCGTGTGTGGTTTAGTTGCCTTTTCAACCTGTCACTGAGCTCCATAGTGGCTCTGGGTGTGCCGGCTCTCTCCCGTGCAGCAGCAGAAGCATCATGGAAGGTTCCAGGCCCCAGGACAACAAGGAGCCCTTGCAGCACCGTCCAGGTGGCCGCAGCATGGGGCCCAGGATACCACAGCGATCCAGCCCCACGCCCAAGCTCGGTGAGTGGCAGGGGCTGCTGTGGGTGGCATCCAGCCTGGCCTGCCTCGAAAGTGGGCTTTCCTCGCCAATCTGTTTCTACGCGTGAGGCTCCGCGTGTTTGTCCCTTCATGGATGATGGGTTCCTTCCGTTTCAGAAAATCCAGCTGATTTGCGGCCCAAGAGCTCTGCTGGGGGTCAGCTGAACGAGTCTCTGTTTCTGCTCAGGTACGGGTCCACGTCTGGGACGGGGCGGGAAGCAACGGGAGGGAAAAGCTAAGTCCTCTTCAGCCACCTGCTGTCCTGGGGTGCTGGAGCAGGAGGGCGGGGCCTTGACACATTCCCTCTGTTGTCAACATTACAGCTATGGGGCTGGGAATTTAGGTCAGTGGCTTAAGTGCCTGCTTGGCAAACGCAGGGTTGTGAGTTCAATCCCCAGGACCAAAGAAAAAAAACCAAACCAAAAACTCGCCCTAAATCACAGCTATGTGCTGGCCAGGGGACTCTAGAGTCTGCTGTGCATTTAAAAATTACTTATTTTCCCCTACTTGTAAGGGTTGAATCCTTTTCATTTTGTACTTTAACTTTAAATAGAAACGAAAATTTCAGGACTCTCATGTCACCACTAGTGTGGGTTACATGGCTACTTGGTTAGTGAAGGAACAAAATAACAAGTAAGTGAAAGGTGAAGATACTAATCTTAGAGAATTGAGAGTAATGATTAGAAAGACGTAATGATTTAACAAGACGTATGACGATGATGATCATGGTTTTGGTGGTGTGGGGCTTTGAGGCACATCCCCAGTCCTTTTTATTTTTTATTTTTATTTTTATTTTATTTTATTTTTTGTCTTTTTAAGAACTCAATGGGAGGCCAAGGAGTAGTGTAAAGATCCACAGATTATAGCAGACATTTATATGTGCAGGAGGAATTACTAAAAACATATACAGATTATAATTTGTCAAAAATAGGCATGAAGGTAATTTCCTATTTCATATGTAACCTGTTTTCCATCCTATGTATTTTATATGTATTATACTAATCGTGCCTATACCCAAAGACACTTTAAAACAATAAATCAGTGTATTAAGATTTCTAGTTAAAAAAGAGAATATATGTCATATATATGTCATAGAAGACTGAATAAAAGAAATAATAAATGAGTCAGGAAGTTATTTCAAAAGCAGTTCCAGAAATTATGGTGCTATCTAAACACACAAATTAGAGCTGAAACTTCCCTGTGCGATGAGGCCATATGTGATGATCCCATTCTGCCATGTTTCTCAGTACGTGTTTTTCAGAGCTAGTGTGCAGAGGATAGAGTTTCTGAAATCCAAGTAATGTCGTGTGGTCACTTCCCAGTTCTCGTCCTACACCACGGACCAGCACTGCTGTGGGACTGAGCTCTGGACAGGACAAGACCCCGACTTCACTGCAGAAGACCTCTCCCTCGGCCAAGGTGGGTGGCCATGGAATTGTTTTTTCTATGTGAGATATAGAGGCTCACCCAGATCATTGCAAGTTGAGCTATGGACTGTGTTCTCAATTGCAAGATTTACGGTACAGGTGTCTTCTCTGGTCATGGTTGCACTCCTAGTGAGGACCGTAAACGAGATCCCTTGTGGTCACCTCAAAGTTTTTTTATTAACAACTTCCTTGAGATATAATTGACAGAAGCTGTAGTCCACCCATGTGAGGTGTGCCATGGGGCCTTTGCTCTATTCAGAGACACACAACCATTCACCCCACGCAAGGGAGGCACCTTGGTCCTGGGCGTCACCCCATTGCCGGTTCTTTCCACCCTTGCCAGAGCAGCCAGCAGTCTACTTGCCTGTTCTAGACAGTTTGGACAGGTGGAACCACCGAGTGTGTAGTCTTCTTCTGTTACTGGCTTTGTGATTTAACAGTGTTTTGAGGTTCACCCCAGTTGCAGCATGTGTCATCAGTACTGCGTTCTGTTCCTTCATATTCCCAAATAATACTTTATCATGTGCATCTTTTCTGCATTCATTCATCAACTGACAGATGTTGGGGTGTGCCTGCCATTTAGCTGTGTAAAAATGCTGTTGTGGACAGCTGTGTGCACATTTGTGTGAGGCCTGTTTTTACTTCTGTGGGGTGTGTGTTCTTAGGGGCGCCCTTGCTGGGTCAGGTCGTGCTGACTTGTTACTTCGTGAGGACCTGCAGATCGTGCCTCAGTACCGCTGCTCCATTTGCATTCTCACCAGTGGAGTTCAGGGTGCTGGTTAATTTATCCTCACCAACAGCTGTCGTTTGTCTTTTTCTGATACATCACGGTACACACATGACTGTCTTACTGGGCCGCTTGGACCCCAGTAGTACAAATAGACCTGATCACTTTTATTGATCTTTTTACTATAATAAAAGCCTGGATAGGACAGTCATGTGTGACCGCTGGCACTCAAGCCATGTAGCCGCAGGACACGAGTTCCAGCCATGTTGTGACTGTCGTGACTGTGTTAAACTGCAGTACACAGGCACCACGGTGTGGGTCAGTGCTAGAGCTCTTACTCAGTGCATCCAAGGCCTGGCTTCCAGCCCTAGCACCACACCCCAAAAGTTGTGGCAAAATATATGCAGTGACACCACAGTTCGTGAACTGAATTTGCTCCATGATTCTGGGAATGAGGGCTGCATTTGTGTTCAGGCTGGAAAGGGGCTTGGTTGCGTTCGTCACCATTCATCAGAGTTTGCAAACAGAAACAAAACTTTGCTAGATGCTTCTGTCTGTGAGTTAGACTGTTTAAAAACAACAGCATTGGTGAGCTGAGGTACCACGGTGTTACATGCAATTTACTGCCATAGCCGTTTCCAGGGCACAGCTCAGTGGCAGTGAGCACAGTAGTGTCATGCCACCGTCACAACCACCACTCCAGGGCTCCTTTGGCATCCTAGGTGAGACCACATGGAGTCTGCAGGCTTCTGTCCTCAGATCCAGCAGTGCTGGGGCCATGTGCTCTGCAGTCATTCTTCCTAAGGCTGAGTGTCCCTTACCTGTCCCTTGCTGATGGGTGCTCTGCTTGTTTCCTCTTTCCACCTGTTGGGATTGGTGCGGCATTGTCTCACTTCCTGACAGGAGCCGTTGTCATGGCACCGCAGTCCATCTTTTCAGTGGTTTGATTTGCTGTCTGCTGATAACTGTGATGCAGAGAATCTAATGGGATCCCTGGCCATTTGTCTCTGTTAGAGAAATGTCTGTTCAAATCCTGTGTGATGGATGGGTTCTTATCTTCTTGTTACTGAGTGGTAGAGGTTTTTATCTGTTCTCGAGAGATGGTTTTTTTCTTGCTTTTGAGATAAGGTCTTAGTAGGTAGTACAGACTGGCCTTGAACTCACAGCAATCTTTCTGTCTCAGCCTCCAAGGTACTAGGGTTACAGCTGTGTACCACCACGCCCAGTCCTCTAGAAAGATGATTTGTAAACATTTTTTCCTTTTCTGTGGTTGTCTTTTGACTTTCTCTTCTCTTCTTGTTTCATGGAGGTGGGCATTGAGTGCCAACCTTGGGTGTGCCAGGCAAGTGCTGCCACCCTGAGGAGCCTCTCCTGCTCCTTGGCCTTGTCTTTTGTGATGAGCTCTTTTGAAGCACAAGCCTTGCTTTTGTTGTAGTCCAGGTTATCTTTTTTTGTGTGTTTGTTCTTCAGGTACCCGCTGTAAGACCACAAGGGCTTATGTAAGGGGTTCCCTGCAGCAGTTTTGTAGTTTGCGTTCTCACTTTAGGCCTTGGTCCATTTGAATTCATGTTAGTCTGTGGTGTGTGGTGGGGGTCAGCTTCGTTGTCTTACATGTGGTTCTCCAGTTTGTGCCATACTGCTCTGGGAGAACTGTTCTTTCCCTGTTGTGTTGTCTCACCTCTCTTGTGAGAAATCAGTGGGTTGTAAATGTGTGGGTTTCTTTCTGGGCTTGGTTCTTGTGATAGATTGACAACTGGTGGTCAGCTTGTGACACCCAGATAGACTGAATCAGCATGGTTCTGGGTGTGCAGGGCCCACCAACAACATGAAAAGGACAACTGAGAGGAAGAGGTTGTGTTGGTGGTTCTCCTGTTGCTGTTGGTTCTCCTGGAGGAACCTGTCGAGCTTCTTTCCCGATATGAACTTGGCTGTTCTCATAGTAAGACAACCTCAGGACCACATTTGCTGCACTGTGGGGGAGCTCTGGTCCATACTTGAGCATCACTTCTTGCCTCTGGAGGGGAAGATTGTGCTGTTCAATCTCTAGGAGAAGCTTGTAATGCTGGCTTCCTATGTGAACTTGGCTCTTCTCATTGTTGGAGGAACTCAGACCCTCACTGTCACAGAGGTTGGCTGTGGTATTTTTGTGGGAACTCTGGTTCTTATTTTAAGCGTTGCTTCCTTGCTCCAGATCCCTCAGTCTGCTGGCATGGATCCTTCACCCCACTGGTGCAGACTTGCTAGCTTCCACCACTGACATTTGCGCCTTCCCATCACAAATCCGTGAAACAGACTTGCATGAGTCACTGTCATAGGCTCAAGGTCTTCAGCTGGACTCATGCAGGACATTGCTGTTGGATCCAGGCCTTCAGCTGGATTCTGTGGGTCTTTCGTATGTGAACAGATTTTCTGCACTTTTTTGTGTTTGTCTCTGGGTGACTATTATAATTCTATACATTACATGTCATATATTAAATTGTTTTCCTTGCAAACTCCGCCCATAACAGTTCTGTTGGTAGATCTTCTCTCCTTGTGATACTAGTGTGCTCCCGTGACTACTATAGCTCTTATAAAGCTTTTGTAACTTTGAAATTGCAGTGTGATTCCTCCAACTTCATTCTTTCTTAAGGTTGTTTTGGCTTTTCAAGGTCCCTTGCATTTCCACGTGTATCTTAGGATTAACCTGTGATTTTCTGCAAAGAACCTGGCTGGGTTGCATGTTGACTGCATGGTATCCATAGACCAGTTTGGGGGAGTGTGGCTATTTAATGGTATTAAGTTCTTTTTCATGAACAGTGGATGTCTTTATTTAGCTTTCCTTTAATTTCTTTCAATCATAGTTGTTTTAAATACAAAAATATTTCTGATTAATGTAGTTCCAAGTTATCTTTATTATACTTAGTGTTTGAGAGAGGTAATAGTTTTTACATTTTTTATTGTTGTTGTTTTTTATTACTGTTAATAACAGTAGTTATTACATTTTTTTTTTGTACTGAATATCAAACTCATGACCTCATGCTTGCCAGGCAGGTGCTTACGCCACTGAGATAAATCCCTGGCCAAGTTATTACATTTGTTAAATGTAATGTGAATGTGTATTTGAAATTTCTGCATGGAAATTTAGTGTAAAAGGGTTATAATAATTTCTCTGCTAATGATGTTTTGATTGTATAGAAAATAGAGAATCAGGGGCTGGGGATTTAGCTCAGTGGCATAAGCACCTGCCTGGCAAGCAGACAATCATGAGTTCAATCCCCGGTACTGATAAAAAAGAAAAAGACAAAAAAAAAAAAAAAAAAAAAAAAAAACCAAACAAAAAAAACAAAATAGAGAATCAGTGAAAAAACCATTCTGAAATGCAGTAGATGTTGAAGTTGTTCCAGCAGGTGGTTATTGTAGAGCATGGTAAGTATAAGTTTTATTGAAAGGGCTTGAACAATAATTATAGGAGTGTGGTAAGGTATTTATGTCGTGTACCTTTAAAATGGTACTTACATTGAGTTAAATATTACTTGCCACTTAACTATTCTTTCTTATTGCTGAGACCAGAATACCCAAAACCTAAAGTTAAAGGAGGAAAGGTTCATTTAGTTCACAATTTGTCGAGGTTTCAGTCCATAATTGGCTGGCTCTAAGGCAGACTGGCTTGGCATTGGGGCATCACAGTGAGGAAAAGACAGTTCGTAGTGGGGAAGGTGGAAGGCAGGTGGTAGCGAAAGCAGTGGCCAGCACACAATGGCGGGGCCCTCTTCCTGTCCCTTATATTCCACCCTGAGGTGGGCAGCATCCATCCAGTCCTTGCCATCATCAACACTCGGAGCTGTGCCAGGCCAATCAGTGGACCAGTGTGATAATCACGTGTCTGAATCCCAGCAACCCACGCTCAGACTCAGCCACCTCTGAAAAGCCCCAGCTGTGACTGCCTGAGGCTTTGGGAAGACATCTAGACACGGCCATCACACTATCCAAAGCCAAAGCTGGTTATTATACTTTGATATTTGTACTTTTGGTTTGATATGTAAGGTTTGTTTTCAAACAGGAACAAGTTTTAATTCTTTTGCATTTGATTTTGATCTCTTATCAGATCATATGGCCTTGGGTCATACGATTTTCATACAGTTTTGGATCACATATTGTGGCTGCTGTCTAGCACCCTTTACCCTAAGGCTGGGAGGACTGGAAAACAGCTCTACAATGCTCGTATTTCTGAGTATTGTATCTGTTCATCTTTTACTACTGTACATGGGATATTAAATTGTGATAATTCATTATTAATGCATCTGCTCAGGTTTACCATAGGAACTTTATACATAGACATTTTCTGATTGGCCTCCCTTCCTAATTCTTGTATTTTTCTAGTAATTCTTCAGTTGATTAATTGTGGTTTTCTAGCTAGGTGAGAGCACCTGCGTGTAGTTTGGCCACCTTTCTTTCAGAGAGTGCTCTTGCTTTTCTCTGTGGACCGATCTTCCTCCCTGTTAAGGCAGGTGTGTCCCTCTTAGCTGTGCCAGTCGCTTGTCCCCCTACTGCTCCCGCCCTGGGACTGGTCTCCACCAGCCTGCTGCCTCTCCATCCCACAGCTCCCAGCAGTCCATTGTCTGCAGAGGCCAGTGTGACTTTTTAAAGATCTTCATTGATGCCATCTGTCCACTCTTATCTATGCTGGATGTTGTTTCAAATGCTGTGCACTTATTCTTCAAATCTTGAAAAGTTGCTGTTAACTTTTATTATGATGAAGAAAACAATCTTTCAATTTCTTAAGGTCTCATAATTCACAAGTAACCATGTCAGGGTACTGGTCTTTCTGTCTTGAAAGTCCATGTTCTTAAACTTAGGATTTTCTCCCCCCTCAACATCTTTTCCTATTCTTTGTGCATTTTCATTCTTTTGTCTACATTGCCAGGGCCTGTCTCAGATTCTAGAACTTTTATTAGCTAACTTCTCTGATCCTGGATCCATATCCCTTTGAGAGCTTTTCCTCATTCTTTTCTTCACTGACTTGGTTTTCTCTTTTATTAAGGTCTTTAATCCTTATTTAAATTTCAGTTTATAATGTGTAGATCTTCTTTTTTTCCCCCAATGTGAACTACTTGGGCTGAGAATTAGGAAAAAAAATTCTAGCCAAGTAGAGCTTGCGCATGCACACACACACACACACACACACACACACACACACACGCTCACACGCAAAAGTCTCAGAGTTAACTGATGGTGATGTCTAGTTATCCACTGTCCTTATGTACCAACTCCAGTTTAATAAATGTGCTGATGTTTAACATTTTGGTAGCAGGTCAGTACTTAAGCACAAACATTTTTATTTTGTAATTTAAATTTCTTTGGATTGAACACATGATCATGTACTTGCCAGGCAGGCACTTATGCCGCTGAGCTAAATCCCTGGCTCCTTTAATTTCATATTGAATTGTCACTACGGCAGAAATGATGGTAGTGCCCACTGGCTGGACCACTTTTGGGAGTATCAGGCTTGGGAGGTCTGCTTTCTGGTCCTCTCAGTGTTAGTGGTAAGGGATGCTTGACATGAGCCAGGCAAGCCAGTTACTTCCCAGAGCTGTGCTTTTTCCATCTGTAGAATGAAAATGAGGACACATTGTGTTCAGGATCTTGGTGAGGATTGCTGGAGGCGGTGACAAGCGTTTTGTATAACAGTGAAAGCACATGGATACACAGACCTGTCATGGTAGTGTCCTCCTCAGCATCTTACTCATTCCGTCTTTGCAGTCACGGAAACAAAGTATAATTTCTGTTCCTGTTTCAGATCACCAGTGTGTACCTGAGCCAGGAAGCACTGGAGACCCAGATGAAGGCGCTGATCTACACAGACTCAGACTTGGTTGTCACCCCGGTCATCGACAACCCCAAGGTGCAGTGGTTTGGGGGCCATGGAGGCTGAGCCTCAGACCTCATGAGAGGGTCCTGTTGTTGTTTTGAAAAAGTCTTTTTTTGTACTAATTCATGGCTGCTTCCTCTTGTCTCACTGTGGAATATTATTTTGGTTTGGGCTGAATGGATTCTTGGATACATTTCATTCTTGGGTTTATTTCTCAGCATTTCATAAACATTATCTTGCCTTTTTTAAAAAAATAATGAATTAAGATAATTCTTAGGAATTCAGATGTGTTGGGCCGGGGGTTTAGCTCAGTGGTGTAAGTACCTGCTTGGCAAATGCGAGGCCGTGAGGTTGATCCCTGGTACAAAAAAAAAAAAAAGCAGAAGTCTGGCAGAGTAACTGTGTATTATGCTGTATTTGATGGATCATAAATGTCTTAGTCATTTTTTTTGTTGCCGAGACATAATATCTGACACTTAAAGGAGGGAAGGTTTGCTTTAGTCACGTTTTAGTCTAAGGTTGGCTGGGTCTGAAGAAGCAGCAACATAGCAGAGAGGCACAGTAAGGAAAAGCTGCCCACATCACAGCAGTCAGGATGCAGAGAGTGAAGGGAGAAACACCCTACCAGGGCCCAGGCAGGGGCCAGACCCCACCTCCTCATGTTGTGTTCAACTGTAGCTCTGTGTGATTCAGTCGTCTTCCAAAAGCCCTGCTTATGAGCACATGAGGCTCTTGGGGGCCATCTAGATATTAACACTCCGCCTTGGCTCTGAAGGCTTATGTACATCTCTCTATGCAAAAGGCATTTAGTCCATCTCTGAAAGTTGCCAAAGTCCAAGAGTTTCAACATTGCTGATATCTAAAGTCTAAAGTCTCCTCAGACCTAAGGCAAACTCTTAGCTGTGATCCTGTGAAAATCAAAAAGAAAGTTAAACACTACCTACATATGCTGGCACAGGACAAACACTTCCATTCTAAAAGAGAGGAATATGGATATGGAAAGACTGGACCAAAGTGATGCTAAAACCCAGCAGGGCTAACATTAAATTCTGTAATTCTTTGTTTAGCACCCCAGGCGCATTGTGAGATGTGAACTCCAAGTGGCTTGGGCAGCTGTCATGGCTTCTCTCTTAGAGTGGTTTTACTTACTGCCTGCTGCTTCCTACCCTGCCCTCTCAGTTCCTGCATTTTGGGTTCATTCTCACAGCTTCCCACACTTTCCTCTTAGGGATACACACTGCCTGGTCTTCTGAGATCTGGGCGGAAGCCTCCCTGACCCCTCAACTCTTGCATTCTGCGTGCCCCTGAAACCAGCACCATGTGGATGATGCCCTGCTGTGTCGCAAGCTTGAGTAGTAGCCAGGCTGCCTTGCGTCCTGGCTGCAGTGACCTCTTGAGTTCCTGGCTAGCTGAGCATTGTGAACAGAATTCTGGGAAATATTTCCCAGCAGGCCAGTCTTGAGCTCAGGTGCCTTGGAGCTGTTTTCTCAAAGTAAAATCTTTTACTTTTGTGCCTTTAAGCCTGTGAAGGGTGGGATTTTGCTGATTCTTCACATGCCCTCAAGGCATTTTTCTATTATCCTGATACTTTGGTACTTCAGCCTCCCAAATCTAGGGATCATGCACCACCATGCCTGGACACTTGGCTTTTTAAAATTTTACTTTTGGTACCAGCAATCAAACTCAGGACCTTGTGATTGTCAGGCAGGAACTTAAGCTGTCCCAGCTATATCCCCAGCCCTTGGCTTCTTTTTAATGCTAATCTTTAAAGCAACCAGGCTCTCTTATGCTCTACCTTTACAACCCATTTCTTTCTAGCAGAGTTGAAAATTTTATAAATGGTTTATTTGCTCTTGTTTCTCACTGTAACTCTGACTGAAAGCAGTGAGTGGTGCCTCTCTCACAGCTTCAACATTGGGCTGCCTTGAAATTCCCCCTGCCAGATCAGTTGGTCCACTGTCCTCAATCTCAGAACATGAGCACAGTGTAAACAGGTTTTTTGCTAGTGCACAATTGATAGGCCCTAGCATCCAGCTGCCAGCAGAATCCTTGTTCCCAACTGAAGTCTCCTGAGCCTGGTCTTTGTCATCTGCAGCTCTGTTAGCATGCTGGTGATCTGAACTTTGCTCAGAACCTCCCATCCAGCTCAGCTTACAGCATTCTAGGGCTTTTCAGACCTTTCCAAACTCCTTCGAAGAAGGAGCCCACAGGCTGCTGAGCCACATGTCAAGTAGCAGCACAGCAGTGACCCCACTTCTTGGTGCTGACACCTGTGTTTGTCAGTATCTTGTTTCTGAGACACAATACCCAACACCCCCAATTTAAAGGAGGAGGGGGTGGCTCTGGCTTATTCTGTCATGTTTCAGTCCATGGTTGGCTGGCTTCAAAGAAGAAACAGTAACAGAGGGACAGGGTGGAGGAAAAGAGGGCTAGGTGCTGGCGGTCAGGAAGCAGAGAGAAAAGGAGGCACTGGGGAAGGAGATGCCCCCTACCAGGCCATGCCCCCCCCCACCTCTGATTCATCCTCTGATTCATTCATCTCCCACAAGCCCTGCTCCTGAGCATGTGAGGCTGCAGATAGAAACGGTGAATTCTAATGCATTTTGCATTCTGCACAGCCAGATACTATTCCTTGATATGCATACACCATGTTTTCTTTATCTGTTCATCTGTTGATGGGCATCTAGGCTGTTTTTAGAGCTCAGTTAGTACGAATTGTGCTGCTGTAAATGTTAAAAAGCTTTTACACTGTGAAGGAAATGATCAGCTGAGTGAAAAGACAATTCACAGAATGGGCAAGAAATTTTACCTGTTACTCTTTTGATAGAGAACTAATATCTTGAATACATAGACAACTTGATAGAAATTATTTTCAAAAATACATACTCTGTATTTAAGTATTTCACTCTGAAGTAGCATTGTTGAATTCTTTTCCTTTTCTGATGACAGTGTTCTTTTTTGCAATGTGATTCAAGGCACAGTTTTGGAAACATGTCCATCTTGAAAGGTAACTCACAAGTTCATTTTGTTTTTGAACTACAGATAATGAAGCAACCACCCATGAAATTTGATTCAAAAATACTGCATCTGCCAGCACATTCAGGTAGGGTCATAAAGGGCTCGTTCAGTGTGCACGTCTTGGTTTGTGGATACAAATGCAGAGTTTATTTGCAAATGGCAGAGTTGTGTAGGATAGTGAAGTTCCTGTTTTATGCCTCATGGTTGCACTCTTAGGGCAGTGCTATGTAAATCACAAGCCTTGTAACCCACCTTGGCCTTGCCTGCTGAACCCCGAGTCCCTATCCCCTGTGGCCTGTAGAGGGAGGTTCTGGGAGCTGGATGAGTCCCCCATAAATAGGAAGAGGGTCTTTTCCCACCCTCCCCTGTGGCACCAGCTGAGTACTACCAGGGACAGTGCTGGTATGGTGCCCAGGGCTGGGGACTGCAGTATAGGGCAGCTGAGTGCCACCCGGGCTGGACAGTCCACTCTTGAGGGGGTGGTGTTTGAACAGGTGTCTGTGGCTGCACCCACCCTCCACTCATCTAAACAGAAGCAGTTATAGGATCATCATGTGTCACTGCAGCTGACGGACACCTTTCTGCAGTGAACATCAGAACCTTTTGCACATCTTGTGTTGATTTGTTTAGCTGAATGTGTTATATTTTAATTTGGGAAGATAGATTTGTGGAAAATGCTTCCTTGTGGCTAGAGTAGAATCTTTGATATAAAGTAAATTTGTAATAAGATCTATTCAAATTTAAATGAATCAGCTAATGGATTATATAAGTCCACATAATTACTGATAGAAAACAAAAGAAACTACATAGATCAAAATGAAGCAAAATACTAGTAGTGTGTTCAGTGTCAAGAAAATTGTTTATGGAAACCTAGAGGATTATTATCAAGAAATTTTATCTTCTTTCATTTCTTTGTCTTTTGAGTTGTTTAGGGAGTTATTTTTACAATTTATGTTTTCCTTAACTACAGTTTTGTTTAGCTGTGCATTTAGGTATAGTGTGGGTTGTAGCACAATTGTCCAGTTGTGTGCTCTTTTTCTTTTGAGCAGTTTTCTGTTGAATTAGTTAACAAGTATCCCTGGGTGGATAGAGATGAGGAGTATAGAAGGGCAATTAAATGTTGTATTACCTTTCTTAGGAGTGATTGTTCATTGACAGTGTTGGGAATTGGACCCAGGATCTTTGTACTTGGCTTTATCCCAGGCCCTCTAAAATTTTTTGATTTTTTTATTTTGTCTTTTAGAGACAGAGTTTTGCTCTATGGTTCAGGCTGGCTTTGAACTCACTTTGTAGCCCAGGCTGGCCTTGAACTTGCAGTGATCTCCCTGCCTCAGCCTCTCAAATGCTGGGATTACATATTTGCACCACTATGCCCGGCTAAAATTTATTTAAGACCAGTCTCACTAGGTCCCTAAGTTGCCCGGCTGGCTTGTAGTTGCAATCCCCTTGCCTCTGCCTCCCAGAATGCTGGTGTGCACTGCCATTCCTGGCTGTGATTTTGACAGTGGTGGTGTTAGAATTTCCTTTGCCCTCATTTGACTGCCAACTATTCTGCCTTGGACTTCTCACACAAGATTTTAGCTATCTTCTTTCTCATCATGCATACCCTCACTGCTTTCCTCCCCCTGCAGCCGAGAAGTTGCTGCTTCTCAAGGACCAGGACTGGAACGACTTCCTGCAGCAGGTGTGCTCGCAGATCGATTCCACCGAGAGGAGTGCGTCGGCCTCCCGAGCCAAGCTGAATCTCCTCTGCTATTTGTGCATGGTGGCCACTCACAGGGAGGTCGCAGGCAGGCTCCTGAATTCGCCCCTGGTAGGCCTCCGTGCTTTCCTTTCCTGTTTCTCTGGAGATGAAAACAAGGACTAAGTTATTCATTAGGTTTAATTACAGTGAACAGTGATTTGTCAACGGTAGGTCTATGAATATTACCCTCAGTTTAATGCCTAGGCCTAAAAGCGGTTGGGTAGGATGGAGAGGTGAAGCTTTTCCTTGGTGATACTTTATCTTATGTTTTCAGTGAGCATCGCATAGTTTTCAATCTGAAATCATGAATTGCTTCCTGGCACTGTAGTGCGCTGCCCACGTATAGTAGGGGGTCTTTGACCTCATTCACCCCGCAGATGAGCTGCAGGGTTTTTGGAACGACTCTGATGGACATGCCACACCCCTAAGGCTTCTGCTTTCTATTCCTCCTGGGAATGTCCTTGGTCCTGGCAGACCCATTACAGTTTGGCAGTGCTTTTCAGGTTACATCAACAAAGAATTGCTGTGATTTGGAAGTGTTTTCCGTAAAGAATGCTCATTTAGGAACTGACTGGAAAAGCATGAGTTCATTTTGTGTTCATGATGGTGTGAAAGTTACTTTCTTGTTGGTTGGTGCTTGTCGGATGGGCTGGACTTTGGGGGATGTAAAGTGGTAGGAGCAACTGAGTTTCCTTTGTTGTTATCTTCATCTACCCAGTGCTTTTTGCACCTTTGCAGGTGATTACCTTGGTGCACAGTTCACATTTTTGCTAGGTGTAGTGGTGCACGCCTGTAATCACAGCACTTGGGAAGTTGAGGCAGGAGGATTGTTGCGAGTTCATATCTTGGAATCACTTTCTGTGTCATTTCATGAGTTTAATGTACATTTTTACTTTTGATTCTAGTTCCACTTGCTAATCCAGCATTTGCGAATAGCTCCAAACTGGGATATGTAAGTAACATTTATATTTCAAAAATACTCTATGTTTTTATGAAATTATTACAATTTACTCATCATAAGCAGAGTCCTAAGTGGTTTTTATAAATGATTCTAAAGTAAAGATGACTGATTCTTAGGCAATTTCTAGAGGCATCCTAATTTCACACTTAAGAAGATTTAAAAGTATCCATTATCCTAATGTTATAAACACACTTCTGGGATTATCTAAGCTGCTTCTAGAAACTTCATTGACTGTCACTGCTGAGTGTTTGTTACGGACGAGATCCCTGTGTTTCATTTATCCTCCTCCGCACTTTCCTTCAGGCCCATGGGTCTTTCCTGCCTGTAGCACACAGCTTCCCTAGGGAGTGGTTTATAATCTTGTGGGGGTTCTAACCTGTAAACTCCGATGGAGGATGGGCGCTCCTTTCCATGGAGGTGGCAGCCCTCGGGGAGAAGCATGTTAGGAAGGCAAGGGCTCTGGCTGCCAGCGAGATGTGGCCCGGTGATTGAACCTGCCTCTGGCCTCTGCTTCCTGGGAAGTCTGTGTGGCACAAGGTGATGATGTACGTTTAGGTTTGAGACAGATCTGTCCTGTTTTGCTTCTGGACCTCAGTTATCTCACCTGTAAACTGAGGTAGTATGAACTACTTTACAGATTTTGGTAATTAAACTATTAGGGAGGTACATACGTGACAGGCCTGGTACAACGTCTGGTTTGTATAGTGGTGATTAATGTATGTTGAGGTTTTGCTGGTGTGCTGACCTCTGTGATTGTTACAAGTGTGGTGCTGAGTGTGATAGTGATTATTCTTCATGCTGGCAGGTGACTGAGAAATGACAGGAATTCATAAAATGCTTTTTTGGGGTTTTATTCCTATGCATCTTCTAATGTTACCCTCCCAAAGCAAAGTCTGGCATTACAAAATAGAAATCAAGGTAATGATTGAGTTGTTGGTACTTTGGGAAGGTTTGCAGTGCGCTTGTTAAAAAGAAACCATGGCATCCTTACTGGTTAAGGGTTCTGGCAAATATACTTTCCCTTGGGTGTCCCCTGCTGACACCAAGGTGGGTTTTTTTTTTTTTTTTTTTTGTCTTTTTCGTTTTTATTGGTACCAGCGATCGAACTCACGACTGCCTGCTTGCAAGGCAGGCGCTTATGCTGCTGAGCTAAATCCCCAGCCCCTACGGTGGATGTTTTTAATCCTTTCCCAGTATAGCTTTAAAACTTTTGTTTTATTTTTAAAACTCAAGTTTAATTATTCAAAAGTTTTAACTTGAAGCAAACAGTAAAGTAGGACTAGTAAATAGTAAGATAGTTGACAACTCCTCCATTGTATCTTTTCCTCTTTGAAAAGTTTCTGCTTCCACATTTACCAGTTTTGATCTGTTTTCCAGGTTCGTTGTGCATGTAGAAATAGAATCATGTGATAGTTTTATAAGTTTCTTTTCCCCTCACTTTTCTTTATTATGTTATTAATTTGAGTGAGATCATGTTTTGAAGTGTGCTGTAATCATTTTTATTTTTGCTGGGATGTTTTTGGATGGTATTGTAATTTTGGGAACAATATTTTTGGTAAACAATATTTTTGATGCTTAAATCTTTGTACCTGGTTTTTTTCTCTTAGGGCAGATTCACAGACTCAGAACAAATGGGTAGAAGACACTTACACTGTTACTGTGACAGAAGACTTGAGATGATCAATGTATGAAGCAGAAAGATTTTTGGGGGCACTCGGTTTTGGGGATTTTAGTCGATGGCCAGGTGGTCCTGCAGTAGCATGTCTCGGTGGGGGTGTGGCAGTCAGCTGTTCTTGTCTTCCTGGCCAGGAAGCAGAGACGAGTGAAGGGGCCAGGGCCTCCCAGTGCCTACCCACCTCCCTCTGAGTCCCACCTTTTAGAGCTTCTGCCACATCCCCAGTGCCTGGTTCCAGAAAGCTTTTAACACATGGGCCTCTGGGGACATTTAAGAGACCCAAGTTGCAGCAGTGGTAAATGTTGTGTGACTTCTTTTACATTGCTAAAATGTTCTTTGAAGCATTGTATCAGCATATACTCCAGTGGGCTCTGATAGGGTAGCTGCTCATTACAATGGTTATTTAAATTAAATGAAATTAAATGCTAGTTTCTGACTTGCACAGGCCTGTTTTATGCCCCTGCATTTCTGGTGGATGCTGTAAGGGGCAGTGCTGCTGCGAAGAGCTTCTCTTACCAGGGGAATTTTGTCTAGCAGTGCTGCTTGGGTGCTGTCACCCCAAGATGGGAATAATTCTGGGGTGCAGTATTCTGGGGCTTGAGGGAACCTGGGCCATAAGGAGGAACCGTCTGGTGAGGGTATTGCACAGGAGGTGCAGCTGGAGGGAGTTTTCTGTTATAAGCTGAGGACTATTGTTATTGTCCTTTAAATAGTTTATAATTTAAAAGCATGAGGTTTTTAAAGTAGTTTTTTTCATGTTCTAATAGAAATTACTGTGGGTGTAATTGTGGCAATGTTTAGTTGGTATATTTCATTACATTTTTATAGTGGTTAAATACATCTGGTAGCCAGTATTTCATTTCACAGACTGAAAAAGAATTGAAGACAAAAGAAAAAAGAAAAAATCTGGGCTTGGTGGCTTATGCCTCCAGTGGGCTCTGATAGGGTAGCTGACTTGCACAGGCCTGTTTGTAATCCCTGTTGTAATCCCAGCATTCAAAAAGCTGAGGCAGGAGGGTTAGTTCAAGACCAGCCTGAACCGCACAGTGAAACCCTATCTCAAAAAGGCCAAAACCAACAACAAAAAACCCCCAAACTCCCAAGATGTTGAAGACTACTATGAAATGGCTCTGAGCAGGATTTAAAATAACTAATTGACTTTCTATGTTTATCTGTGAGTCTGTCCTAGGGCTTGGCCCCTTGCCTGGTGACAGGAGCTGATTCATAGTAAGTGAACCTCTGTGAATCACTGGTCCTAGCTAAGGCCTCTAGTGGACTGCAAGGCCAGAGATACCTCAAAGGGCAAGATAAGGCCACAGCTTCGGACATTCTGGCTCCACCCCTAATTAAGTAGATAGAGACTACAGCTGCAGGAATTACTCCTGCAGTCTCACTCCTACCATGTCTTCATGAAGATAAGACGGTTCTCCTAAATTGACATGATTTATTACTTGGAGACATCCTTGAAGTGACTCCCAAGGTCCTGTTCATTTCCTGTGCTTTCCTCAGTTTCGCCACCCTTTGTTTTGGATCGAATAAATATGGGCGGTCCAGAGAAGTCTTTGTCTTAGTCCTCAGAGTCTTGAGCTCAGCTAAAGGGTTTTGACCCTCCAGGAGCCCTAAAGTCCTACCACTTGACTCATTTTGTTTAAGCCTCCACTGTACACTTGTTTGGAAGGTTGGGGATCTAGGTCAAGACCCCATACCAAAAAAAACAAAACCCAAAAAACCAGTCCACTGTCTCCTGAGTGTTGTGAGCTTCCCATTGCAAAGGGAACTACTCTGTGTTTATGTCTTCACTTCACTAGCAAGTCCTAGTCACAGCATCCATGGGGAGACCTGGGTGGCAGCCCAGCCATCCCCTGGCACATGTGGACGCCAAGGCACATGTGACCTGACTGTAGTCACAAGGCTGGGCGATGGGATGGCTGTGTTCTCAGCTCTCTATCCCTGTGACAGATGTTTCCACTTGAAACTGGAGAGCTGCAGTCCTGGTGTTGGAGGCCTGGCACTGTGTCCTGTGGTGGGACCACGTGGAGGCCTGGTCATCTCATGGGGTAGGGGGGATGGAGAGTGAGGAGGACCTGGTTCTCCTGCTGTGCCTGTCGTGGGCAGCCCCTGTGACCCAACTCCTGCCAGTGTCAGGGTGGGAGTGTTGCCCGAAAGCTGCTCACGGCCTGGTGGTCCCATGCTCTCCCAGGAGGGCCGTGGGCTGGGGACCAGGCTTTTAACACACATGTACCTTGAGGATAGTGAGGACCAACCAGACAGCGGCAAAGGAGCAAGAAGCTTTTAAAAATATTCTCAGTCTAGTGTCTCACCAAATCCTTTCCAAAATAATTGCTTCTAATACATCACGATGGGGCTGTGGTTGGTATGTCTCACTTCCAGGTGTTTTGAACCACTGGCAGTATCCACGGGACCGTGCCATGCACTGCTGTGCCACTTCTACCACCGGCAGTACCTGTATGTCTGTCCCGCCAGCCACTGCGCACCGCCGGTGGTGGTGGAAGTGGCACAGCGGTACCTGGACAGTGCGTTTCCCGTGCTGCACTCCCAGGCTGACTTGTTTCCTTCTGCACATCCTCAGGTGCAGCTTGAGAAGCTGGAAAACAGCAGGCACCACTCGGGCCAGGAGACACGTGCTCCTCACTGGGCAGTGGTGTGGTTCAGGTCAACCCAGCATTTCTTCTTTGAAGAAAGCTCATTAAAGTTAACTTTCTACATTAAGTACTTGCTCAAATCACAAGAAGTTTTGCTTAATTTTTCATCTTCCTTTTCTGCCTGATACCAAAGAGAATGTGTTATAAAACTAGTATTCATTTGAAAAGCAACATTCATAAGATGTCTTAGTGTAAACCTTTTTGTTCTACAGTGTACGTATTCCCTGCGGACTTAACTGTCGTGGGTTAGTTATTCCCTGCACACACAGAAATTCACTGTCTTGCTAACAGACACCCCAAGACCTTTAGGCATATGCCCTTGTACTTGGAGAGGAACGGGTGGTGACCAGTGCTTGTTCCCTCTGCCTGAGGTCCCATCACAGTTTCATTTTCTGTTGTCCTATTGAACAGCAATGGCAATTTTGTCAGTGTCACAGATGGCATCACAGGACTTTGCTGCTGGTGTTTGTTTTCCTGGTGGTGGGGAGCTTGGGCCCCTCCAGCCATGCACTTGGGCTGTACTCCGGCCAGTCCACTTTGCTTCTTGTGTGCACAAATGTGATTCTTAGAGTCTATGTCCTTTCCTTCCCTTTGCAGACGGGCCAAGGTGGCACGGGTGATCGGTCTGCTGGCCTCACATACGAATGAGCTCCAGGAAAACACACCTGTCATCGAGGTAATCTCTTTCATCGCTGCCAATTACGAATGCTACTGAGATTGTTTTTGGCTTTGTGATTTGGAACATATAACTTTCACTGCCTTTATATGATTTCTGATTGTGGCCCTGGCCATCTGAGACGTCACCAATGCAGCTCTGCTATGTGCCAGGCTGCTGTGAAAGCCTTATGGCAGAGCCACAGTCTCGGTACAGCAGAGGTGTGATTGCAGTGTGTCTCACCCTAAGTTGATGCCATCCACACCAAGCTGTCGGTCATGCTCGTCACCTGATGGTCACCTATGTGCCCTATCAGTCATTTATTCAAAGTTCTGATACAGGAAGGTTGCAGTGGACAGGAATTGTGGATCCTGTGAAGTGAATGCTGCTCTTCTGCAGCCTTCAAGAGTGTCCTTGAATATGGAGTGCTGCTTCCTATCAGTGTTGGTCACGCTTCATTGGTAATGAGTTTTGTCCCTCGAGCTGGGAAAGGAAATACCAAGGCTTCTGTGGGCAAGATGGCCCTTGCTGAGCTGCAGCTGGAGTGTGGTGTTGGGGCGGGGGGGGGGGGCCTTGATTTTCTGCAGTAATGGGATTGAAGGTGTGAGGGCTGTCTTGGAGTAGAGTATCACAATCAGGGCACAGTAGCAACAAAGGACCAGAGGTGGGGGAATGGTGGGTGCCTCTGGAGCTGGATAGTATACACAGCTGGAAGGGAGTTGGGGGATGAAAGAGTGAGGTTACCAGGCTGGTCCGCGTGGCCTGCACTGTGAGGTGAGGATGAAGACCATGCAGAGTGAGGCCTGTGCCTTGGAGGATCTCGGGCAGAGGACCTTCAGTGCGGCTTCTGTTTGATAAGGGTCTCGCTGTCTGTCACAGAGATGGGTGAGGTGGCTCTGAGAGACAGTGGGAATCTGAACCAGGTTGTTGTCACCCTCACACACACATGTTCAAAGTGCACACTTACAAGTGCATACACATGTGCACACACCCACATACATGTACATTCACAATGCGTATTTCATGGTGTATTTGAAGAGCAATGACAGATTTGTAATTGCTATGATCATATTTGAAAGCAGACTTTCATTCCCAAGAAGCCTGGCCAGGATAAATTTAATGTTCAGTAATAGAAATGCTGAGTCACCATGGAAATGCAAATCAGAACAAAATCCAGTAGAGCCTAGCAGTGCTCTTGGCCAGGAGGACATGTCTGCTGCCGGCGGGGGCCACATGTGGGCACAGATGTCCAGTAGAACAGTGTGGAGGTCCTGGAGGCTGTGTCCAGCACCTTGTGCCCTGTGACCGGTGTGCCTAGGAGTGGGTATAGAATGAGTGAGCCCTGAGCAGCATTGAGACACTGAGTTGTAGTACTGGGCACCGGGCCTGGGGACCTCATATCCACACGCCTGTTCTCATGTCAGGGGACACTTCCTGGGAGGCTGGCATGTTCAGAAATGCATGGGGTCTGGGGTGGTACTTGCATGAGGTCAACTCCCCTTCAGCTGACACCATGGGGTGAGATGTGTGCAGGTGGGAGTCGTGGAGGATCTGGAAATGAGAGGCACCTTGTGGCACAGCCTGGAGAAGACTTCCTGTGTGCAGGGCTTCCCTGGTCAGGGAATCACAAGGTGTGCAGCAAGCTGGACGGTCACTTGCCCCAGATGACCCACTTATGTCACCCCGCCCCATGCACAGTACTTCTGGTGCTGTGAGCACCTCTGGGGTGACGCCCACAGCCTGGACTGCACCATGGCTGTGCTCTCAGCTATGCTGCCCTCTAGAGACCAGGCATGTGGTGTCCTCATTGTCCCATCTTCCCCACCCTCCTGTTTCTGTCTGCAGAGAGATATGGTGGGTGCCTGCTCTTGAGGTGCCCAGGTCTTCCATTCCTGCCTGGGAATTCGCTGATGCTTGTTAATTGGAAATGGAAACATATGGGGAAAATCATTCCCCTTCCATTAAAAAGCACAAGTGTAATTCAGCCATCCGGTGAATGGTTTTGAGGTAAGCAAACTCCTTAGTAAGCTGAATGCAGGATAATGGGGAGTTTGCAGAAGGTGAAGTTGGTCCAGGTGCCCCTTGGTGATGCCGTTATTATTTTATTTTTGTTGTTTTCTTTTGTTTGTGTGCTGGGGATGGAACCTAGGCCACGCTCACTTGAACACAGCCTGGCCCTTGGACATCTGGTTAGCAATTGTTTTGAGTAGTTGCCAGTGACAGTTTAAACCACCAGAGGTCGCTCAGGCACTGAAGAAAAGCTGTCCAAATTTGACAGTTTGTTCAGCTTCTGCATTTCTTGGAGGGCTTAGCAAGGATATGGTGCTGGTTCATCTTTTTCTTGTTTTGAGAGTTTCTGCTAACACACTGGCTCTATCTGTTGACGACTGTCACTATTTGAGGTTAATGAGGTCAGTGAAAGCCAGGACTCTGCTCTGCAGTAACAGACTCAGCATCTTGTGTGTGACTGCAGAGGACACGGGAACCCCTCGGAGGCTACCAGCCACTCTGAGGTCCTGAGCTCGTGAGTCCACGTTTGTGCAAAGCTCGCAGCTGGATGTTTGTAGATGATTTATCCATAAATTATTATTTTTTTAATTTTTATTTAAGGAGAATAGAAAAAAAAAGCAGAGAAAGGGTACAAGTTATACAGATTTACAGAAAAAAAATAAACAGTAGGAAATCACTAGTTAATGGATTACATATTGTCATCTTAGAAATAATTGTTCAAGTCACAAAATTAAAGCTTGTAAAGTGGACATTCCAACAATGATACTGCAAACAGTTCTGTTCAATGATCCAATAAAACTCTGTGATATCATTTCCTATCTTATATACTTAAATATACATGCAGTTATATAGTTTAGAGCACTTTCTTTTCCTCTCTTTTGTACAATGACTATTACACATTTTGGGTTTCATTGCTCCCACGGTTCTTATTACTTTTTTGGAAGAGAGTAGAGCCAAATGTGACATAACAGAACAGACTCAGTCAAGTGAAAAGGGTGGACATAATAGATAATGTAAAAACATAATACAAGGTGAACAACAATGGTTACCATAATGCCTCCCACTATCTCTAATAGAATTGCCTATATCATTAGTTATAATACGATTGAACAAAACAGTAAAGAATAAAACCGACAAAACCAAAGCATTGGAGACATTATAGGTCTTCAAAAGTAGATAAAAGTCAACGAGAATGGGTGTTATAATGAATCTCATTATCTTCACAGCTGATGCCTAAACTTTCGAACCTGATACTATCCAGCAAAACAGAATAGGGGAACATCAGTCAAAAACAAGATGGTGAGAGTAATACAGGGCTTTAAATTGAGATAATGGAAAGTCAAAGTGGGTTACTATAATATATCCTGCTATTTTTTTTCCTTTAATTAAAAGGATAAAAATAAAAAAGTAAATAATGGAGTGGAGATTGAGATAAAAGAGGGCATAACAGCGAAACAGTGCAGATCAAAACATAACCATTTAAGCAGAATAATGTTTCACCACCAGATAATCCTGACCTAAAAGTAGTTACCATATTGTCTCTTTCCTTGAAATCCTTGAGTACAACTTCGTATACTGTAGCATTAAGTATATCAAAACAATGTAAAACCATTTAAGAGAATGACAGCATTACAGAGTATTTAGAATCGACTAACAGAAAATGAACAATGGTTTCTGTATAATCTCCTTGTCTTTAAAGGGTTTTTGCTTATACTATCGTCCATAATAAAATCCAATAAGATACAACCTATTTAGACCATTGGAGACAGAAGAACAAAAGCTAGATGAGACTTTAAAACAAGATGATACTAAATCAGTATTACCTATTAAGATGTCATTTTCTCCAAATTAGCTGTTCCTATCACCCAGTCTTCTCTGCCTCATTTCTGTTGAGCTCTTTTTCTGTCAGTAGCTATCAGTTTGTCTTCTTCATTTTGTTCTCTGCTCCATTCGTTGTGGCCTCCCCGCCACTATTTCTGGATTCTTTGTATTTTTCTTTTTTTAGAATATCCTGCAAAACTCTCTGTAGAGTTGAATTGGTGGTTGCAAATTCCCCCAGTTCCTCTTTATCCTGGAAGCACCTTGTTTTTCCATCAATTTCCAGGGACAGTTGTGCAGGATATCTCAATCTTGGCTGGAGATTATTATCTTTCAAAGCTTGAATTATTTCCCCCCACGCTCTTCGTGATTTGATGGTTTGTGCAGAGAAATCTGCTGTAATTCTGATGGGTGTTCCCTTGTAAGTGGTCTGTTTCTTGTCTCTGACAGCTTTCAATATTCTGTTCTTGTATTGAATTTCTGGAATTTTTATTATTATATGCCTGGGTGTTGCTCTGTTTGGGTTGTAGGTAGCTGGGGTCCTGTATGCCTCATACATCTGAGTGTCTTTACCTTTTGCTAAATTAGGAAAATTCTCCTGGATTATTTTTGTGAGTAGCTTTTGTAGTTCACTTGTTTGTGTCCCTACTTCTTCTTTTATGTTCTTAATCCTTAAGTTATGGATCCTCTTATCATCTTCTTGTCTTTGTATTATTGCTGTCTGTTTCTTTGTTATTTTTAAGAAGTTTTTCATTTCATTCTCCCATATTACAAGTCTGCCCTCCAGTTCAGATAGTCTGTCCTTAGTTTCTTTCAAGCTGTTATGCCAGTCTTCGATAGACTTCTTAGTATCTTGGTAGTCCCTTTGAACCTGCTTCACGTATTCTATGCTTTCTCTGTTTTCTCCATCAAACAATTCTCCCCTCTTTTTCTGTTCTTCCATTCCACCATCTGTTTTTTCTTGGGTGGTGCTTAGCATTTCTCTAACTATTCTGCATACTTCTAGCTTCAGGTCATTGATAACTTCATTCCTGAATTGGTCTATGAGGCTCTCTATATGGCGCTTTATGTCTATTGGTGCAGTGTCCGCTATTGCCTGTTTCTCAGAATTGGGGGCCGAGGAGCCTTTCTTGTTGCTGCCTTTCCCCTATTCTCAGTTCCTTATATATGCAAGCTTACATAGGAGGCCCAGC